CGTAATCCTACATCAGCGACCTCGGTAGAGCCCCAGATAAACCGGAAGTGGGTGTTTGAGCGCGCGTGTGGGACCCGAATGACAATGAGCTTTACAGAAGCGCCGTCTGCAAAGGCGCTCCTTACGGAACCTATAAATTTCCACTTAATGCCGGTGTATTGGGTGTTCCAAAGGCTTTCAACTTTGTCGATGTGGAATTTGAGGAGTTCGACGAGGTCGTTGCCGAGTGGCACGACCCTTAAAATTACAACCAGTTACCAACACAGGACACAGGGGCACTTTTGGGGGGTTGAATGGCCCCTTAGCAAATTTCAGGGGAGTGAGTATTTCTCACCACCACGGTGAAATACGACCTATATTTAATTTAATGTAAATTTGCTATACCTGACTTTTTAGGGGTTACTTCATAAAATTCCCAGAAGAGCTTTATAGCATCATTAAATTTTTGAATCAATAACATTTTTTTCTCGTATAACATTTAGATTTCAATTTATGAAGCTTTTACACGTGAAATATACATAAAAAAAGACATTTTTTATTATGTTACTGTTATTGGAAAGTATTTATGGTTTTAGATCTAGATTGAGCAAATGGAATACAAATACATAAATATTATGCATATTATTCCCATTGGTTGTATTCGGCTAACGTAAATCCCGCTTAATTCCAATTTTACGAAAGTTATTACGCAGTCCTCGGTGCGAGACCAAAAATGAACTCCGGGCAGGAATTTTCAGTTGCTATGAGAAATAAAAATTTGCCCACAGGCGGAAACTTTCTCGTTTTAATTTCGCGCCATGCCGCCAATTTTACCATACATTTGCATTTTTGCCTCTTTCTCGCAGCTCACCTGGAATCCTGGAACGCCCTCCACAAAACCGATAAGAACTAATAAAAAAGTCAAACAGTACGTTTGGCTCCACGGCAATCTAGGGAATTATCCAGACTACGTTATCCTTTAACGCTCTAATTCAATTAAAAACAATTTCATTGCAAAACGATTCATTAAAGTTTACCACAAAATAAACATCTGGATACTTTAAAAAAGTTATTGTAACGTCAAAGATTCAATTGCCACACTAAAATTAATACTTATGAACGTTGATTTTAATTAAAAGTAATTTCCCTAGCTTGCCTGAAATCGTCCATGGGGTGAGAGGTAGACCTGTCGGCTTTACAGAAGACCGCTAATTTTCTAAGCAAGAACCAGACGGAAGAAGGAAGCCGAGTGCCCCTTTGAGAATCTCGTTTAATTTTTATTCGTCTTCTGAAGATGTTGTTTTATACCCGGAGGGGGTGTTTTCCTCTTTGCGATCCGCCTTGAAAATTGAAAATCATAAAATTTCCTTTCCCAGAATTAATTAAAACGTTGTCATCTTATAAAGGAATTCATTACGAAAACGTTGCTACAAATAAAATTTTACAATATTATTTTTTATTGAATTTAAAACTAATTACATCTAATATCACAACCCAACAAAGATTAACCAAATGTAAAGAGTCCAATTGAACTTCTCAAGAGTGAAAATCTTTAAACTGTTAAATAAATCAAAAAAGGGAAACAAAAAGCCGTGAATTTTCGACCCTTTTTTACGTTTTTTGTTACAAATCCGTCTTAGGATCAACCGAAAGTAAAAGTTTTGGTTTAAATCCCTTCTAGATTCCAGGATACAAACTTTTAGGGTTATCCTAGTTTTAACCTTTCTTAATAGTTTTGGATTTAAAGAAAAGATAAACACCAAGATTTTCTTACAAGAAATACTTTTTTTAACGTATCATTTTCCTAGAGTATATAAAATACTCTATACATATATATAATATGAGCAGAATAACACAAAATCAATTGAACTTATAGAAATAATATTAGAATTTTACAGATACCTACTTGCTGCTTATTTACAAATGCCAAGCGCAAGTATATTTACACATCGCTGCTTTCGACGATCGTCGGTATCTTTATTGGCAGATTCAGGTGCACATTTGACGACCATTATACGGTACGGAGGATTGGAATCATCAACAGGGGCTGCACTCCTCAGCGACTGTAAATGACGATTCGTAAGATTCAGAAATTGGTACTAATTATACTGACTTTACAACACATTAATCACCATTTTATCATAATCTGTATTGTTTGATTATAAAAGTTGTCCCTACCCACAATGTTAAATTTTTTATTTCTTTCCATGCTATTTCCAATTGAACCAAGTCGTGCTTTCACAGGATTCGATTGGTTATTCGAATGGTTGCCACTACGATATCTATGTCGCTTCGTTCAACAATAAGTCTATAGATATCCTCAAGGAATTTACAAGAACACTAACGTATTCGACCTGGTGTTGGTTTCAGCCCATGAGGTTAATTCTGGTTCTGGAAACCAAATTCAGATCCATAGCTTTTAACAAATCGGCCATCTAATTCAGACTTACTTTGAAATATAATTTTGACAAAATCGTATTCTCAGCAGTTTTTCAGCCACATCATTTCCTACTTTGACACAAAATCTGTCTTTAATCTATAATTCTATGCTAATTAAACGTTAATCGTTTGAAGTTATAATTAAGATTTCCAAAAATTAAATTAACCAAGCAATTGATGTAATCAACCGTGATTATAAACTAATGGATGCTAAACGTGACATTAATCGAGTGTTCGACCAAGGGATGTCGTTATTTCAGGGAACCTAATCAATCGCAGTCGTAATTAAGTATAGTAGATAACCAAATAATGGTCTTTAATACAACTTTATTTAATCCAGAATTGATGTTATTAAATCATGAATGTGTATTTATCGATGTTAAACTTACATTAACATAGAAAAGTTTTTATAAATCCGAATTAATGTCCCATTATCTTTAACCACGCATTAATTGATGGAAGATTACCCAAATATATAGGCAAGAATAGGTTTAATGAGGTCAAAGTTCGCCAATACAGCAATTTTAATTGGAGGGACTTAAACTCCAAATGCTCAAAAAGTACGGAATGGAGATGTAAAATACTGGAAACTATTGATGATAATGACCTTTTTTGAATTAATGGGATAACTCGTAAATTAAAAGATTAAAATATGACGTAAAGACTAAAAAAATTGAAAGTGGAAGTGGATCAAAAAAGAACCTTACCGGTCCCTGTTGGGTTATCTGCAGAATTTATTATCAAGGACATTTTCCTCGTATCCAAAGCAGCTAGAAGGAAGACGAAATATCGCGTATTGACTAAAAGGCAAGCAAGAGTTAGACGAGAGGATGGTGAAGGAACACGGTAAAGGTTTGCTTTCAGAAAACGAGAGTAATACGAAACCTAGGTTACCCTTCACATAAGAATATTTAGATATGACGGTAATGAAAATGGAGACATCAAATAATACTCGAAATTTTAGGAACTTCTTTCAGCATGAACTTGTAGACAGTCATTTGAAATGCTAATATTACAATAAAATAACCTGGCTTCATTCAATGACGATTTTGAATATCTACCATTACAATACTTTTTGATGTTCGTGATATGTTATGATATATATTACTTTTGTGTGTGAAGTTGGGTTAATTCCCAGTATCGTATCCAGTATCGCATTAATAATTTAGAATCCACTGATTAGAAGTACCTTATTCATCCTGCGCATGCATTGATGTTGTGTACAGACCTAAAATTCTCCTACACTTGAATGGGTTCGTTGCATAGAATTTGTTATTGTACAAGTATAATATTCAAAACATTAATATTAGCCACCGTTCCACAACAATAATAGCGATTTATCGAATGGAAGTACTTAAGCAAGCTTTTCAACTAGGAATATAACATTTATAACAGTTCGTTAATTAGTATAAATCATGTAAATGAGGAAGATTTTGAAAGGAAACTGAGATACAATGACAAAGCATTATCATAAAACAATTACGAGATTCAAATGAAACCTTCGATTGTTATCATCCACGTTACAGATAGATTTTTAAATATAAGCGTATTTCCCTTTAATTTCCAGTTACCAATTTTTGATTTGACAGCAACGATATGAGAAAATAGCATGTTGTTTTTTTCAGGCAAACAATGTGAATTATTGGCCATATAAACGCTCGCATAAAAAAGTCTCGCAATTTTGAAGAAAATTGAGGCTTTTACACCTCATTTGAACTGCCACCGACGTATTGCCTTTTTTTGTGTGTTATGTTACAGCAAACGGAACAACTACGAAGCGTTGCTGTTATTATCAGTACATAAATCCGGCGACGATAAAACGCTTAATAAAATGTAAAAAAAATTCCTTTTTGTAAAATATTGGAAATAAAGTATACAGTTTGTGTAAAGTGTTCGTAACGCTTGCAGTTAAACGGAGAACAAAATGATTGATGACATCCGGCTCTAACTAACGGACAATTTGAAATAATACGACAGTGTATTATTAACTTTTTATAGTATACTTACCTAATTACGTTTAACCTTATATTAAATTTTTTACTAGTTGAAAGTGTTAAAAATAGTTTTTTAATATCTATACAGTTGATTTTTTGAACTTCACCAAAAATCTATTTATTGTAAGCATCAATAATGTAAATTCCTGAATATAACTCGATTATTCAATCAAGTGAATATGTTTGATAAAGTTAAATTGATATTTCGAACGATCAATCAGATTGATGAAAATGGATGCTGTTAAAATATACCTAAATATACGTTTGGAAAATATCTCGCTTTTTAAATCAAATGTTTGTTGGTTGTTATGTTGAATATTTACATTTCTATCATACCTACTAAAAATTTACTATTTTGTTCTAATTAACTGTTAAAGTATTACTCATAAAATAAATATAACGATATATATAATGTTGTACTATAAATTATATGACTCTTTCACTAGCAAACCATTTACCCGCCAAAACGAATACGGACGGCAAATCAAAATATCAACGATTATTTTTATCCTCGACAAAAGCAAATCTTTCTAACACGCTAATATCACCGAAAGGAAGATTATTGAAGATGAAAATACTTAATCTTACCTGAGTCCTTCGGTTTCCAAACGAAATCCGCGTCAAGATGTTGTTTTCTAAATCTTTTAGCGACTAAATTCCAGATTGAATCGTCGTTGTTGCGTCGTACTCAATCGTCACGTCCTATCGGATGACCAAAACAATCAAACGGGAACGATGTACCAGTCGGAAACACCGCCGAACTCTTGCAAAACACTAACGCGGAATTCACGGAGCTGGTGCCATGTTTAACTGCCGCCGCACAGCGGAACACTTAGCTGTCAAATGCCGCCTCCCGTACGTCCGTACGGTGGCCGCCACGAAAGCGACCAAAACGTCACGGCGCCGCCGCCAAATTCGATCGATAAACCGCCCAGACGCCCCCACACCCCTACAAAATCCTACAGTTATTCGACGGCTGTAACGTGCGTCTCGCAACACCGGTAGTTGATGCAACAAACCAACGAGTCATAACGCCTCTTCACTATTCCCTATCTTTCCGCATGCAACACAACAATGAATGGCATGCTACGTATGCCATTCATCTCATCTTCTGGAACGAAGATGGGAAAAAGAACGAAACAGTCAAGGAAATGGCTTTAGAAGTTTGTGGTCTGCAAATAATGAATACGAGATAGAAGACTTAACTTCTTCATGATGAATAAGGTGAAATGATGAATAAAATTTAAACCTGGCTCAGGTAGAATAACTGATCAACGGTTGAATTGACTTTGCATACCAAGTGTCTATCGAGAGAAGGTGAAGGACAATGATCAATTTTGCAATGTCTTAGATATTTTCGCACAGAGCAAGAAAATTAGAAGACAAATTATTCACTAAAATTGCAATTATCACAGTACATAGGCGATTTTGAATTCGCATCCATTCCCAATACTAATATTCTCATCATTCAAAGTCTGGCTCAGTACTGCAATAATTCCAATACAGTTTTTAATTCTCTCTCTGCACAGACAATGTATTGATTCTTCCACAATCCGTGTCACGAGCGAAGATAAAATAATCATCGTATACCGGTCGTCAAACCAACCCAACCCAACCCTGTACTCAGTTTTTTTTCTGTTCAAACCTGAATCATTCTCATATGATCTGGACATGCGGATGTCATGGGGAGTAGTTCCTCTGCTTTTGCTGGGACAATCTGCCTGTCCTTTAGTCGTACAATACCAGCACACTTTCTTCTTATCACAACATTTCGTTATATTGGCATATGCCAAGCATTAGATGCTTCTGAAATAAGCCCTTGTGGTCTTGGGCAAAAGTTTCCTCAGTTTACCACTTCCAATATCTAATTCCTTCAATAAATGAATTATGTAACTGTCCATCAGTGCTAATTTTATCAGTGTTAGTTTGACTATAGAAAACGGAAATGACACAAATTCTTAATTTTTTGCTTCTATATCAAACAGTAATATCTTTTAAGAGGATGTATCTCCGACAATTCGTTTTACACAATCTCTCCCGTATGTATTTAAATAATAATTTACCAAGTTAACAGATTTTCTTAATATTATGTCCGTTCCGTAGTCAGAAAAAGATTGAGAACCACTGCTTCACATCGTAAAATACACTCCTCCATTGTTTCGCAATAGAAGAAAACAATAAACGAGAAATAAAGCCAATATATCGGATAAAGGGGAGCTTTTCGCTTAAAGTTACTTGTCAACGTGTCAACGTGAGGTGTTTAACGCTATTTTTCGCGACATTCAAACGCAATCATTCCTCGAATACGAATTTCAAGGAAGGTCAAACCCTCGATTCACATATACAAAGACCGTCAAGGATTGATTAATTTTGTAATATATAGGTGTTTTTGATAGATTTTATCAAGTCTTATTACTTAAATAAAATTAAAATAAAAAGAAATTTAATTAAAATATCTAATCCTAATTATAAAATTTACTTTTAGATTGCGTGTAGACGTCGGATGAATAAGATTCGTGGAATATCCGTTACAAGCTCAGAAAACTAATGAAAGAGTCTCAATTAACACGACAACTGTCACATTTCCACAACACCCACGCAATGCGACCGTTCTTTTCTAATTTCACGGTTCGTTTCCTGTCTTTTTTTCGCGTTATTTGCGCACGAGATACCCAAGAGGTGCTACATGATACATCATTTAGTTACTACTAAATCTAATAATGTAACGACGGGAGAATAACTCGTAAAGCATCCGGCAATTGTCTCACATACTTCTCGTCTTATCTTGTTACGTTATTTGTCTTCTTGAAAAAGCTAGCACAATTCTTTATATATCAATAACATGATTCGGTAAAATTCGCAAAATAACGTTCTCGGAAGCTTATCGTTTGATCAGAATCTCTTTGCTTATATTAAAGTAGGCACTTCGTTTCCCGTGGCCGTTATATGGACCGATAGACTGAAAGCGCGCCTTTGTAAGTGCCGACACTGAAAAGTGGAGGCGGCTTCAATGGCCACTTTCTTACCTCGGGGAGATATGGAGGGTTTGCTTTTAAGATTCGCGGCGGTGAAGACTTGGTTGAGGGGGTCGGTCGAGCAAACATCAAGGCCGACGGACCCCCTCTAGCGAATGGTGCGAATCGATCTACCTCGGATGGGATTGAAGTTAGATGGTCCGACGGTCTTTCACCACCTACGGTACAACAATCGGATGCTTATCTGAAATTGGAGTTATAAAACCTGACCACGCGAACTGCCCCTTCGCTTATCCTCGTCTTCACCAGTAGGGTATGTTGAGATATCTGATGTCCTTGTATTTGCCGTTTACATAAACTTGAATGTGTTGAGGCCATCGATGTAGATAATTACAATTTTATATCATAATATAATGTATACAGGTGTCCCGAAACTCAACGTCAAGCGGGCACTGGGTGAGAGGCCAACTCATACAAAAATATAAGAAAAAATTCCATGTCTCTTAGTTAATTGGTAATAGACATATTTTTGAAAATGTTAATAATCGTTCCCGTACATCATATCTTTAGATACTACGGTCAGAAATGCTTTTTTTTTCTTAATGTATTCCTTGTGAACCATGCTACTATAGAAATCACAAATCAAACAACAAAAGTCGTTAGTTTTGTAAAAGAAACTATTAGTTTGATCGAGTTTAGGTTAAAAGAATTTTTGTCTATTAAGTTTGACACACGATTTCTAAAAAAAGCAGTAGTACAACACCCTTGGCAAGTTATTTTAAAAGATGGCCTGTTCAGTCAAGTTTCTAAAATGGTACAACACTTGCCATTTTTGTTTTCATAAAGAACATTTTCAAAAATATGTCTATTACCACTTAACTAAGAGACATAGAATTTTTTTCTTATTTTTACCAGAACAGGTATGAATTGGCCTCTAATTCGGTTCCCGTTTGACGTTGAGTTTCGGGACACCTGTGTATAATATCATCTACAGGTATATTGAAATGAAGTACATACTTATATAAAATTATCCTATTATTAAGAACTGTAAAAATGCAAAAAAAATTGTTTAGACCTAAATCACACTACTCTCCTTCTTTGTATTTCCTCTGTTGAGTACAGTGTATTAATTATTAATTATTGTACCTGACGTCATCATTGCAAGTATGCAACCAATATCACAGTATTTTTATTGCAATACGCGATTTGCGTATGATGCGTATTACACTTCTAGACATGGGTTTAAAAGAATACAAACCTAAACCGTAAAAGAAGTTTAAAATGCGTCTTACTGCACAATGGAAATAAATTTGCATCAATTCCAATTACCCATTCAACAAACATCAAAGCAGAATATGAAAATGTAAAATTAGTGTTACAAAAAAAAAAGAAATGTTCCGAAAAGTAAAGCTTGGAAAAGTTTCCGAATAATTTAGAAAATTGTAGTGAGGAACAGGGAGAGCGGTTCCACCAGCATCTAAAAGTGATGGAGAAAAGATATCAGGGTCGATGGGATTGGAGATTGTCAACTGATTATAAGAAAAGCTCATAAAAGGTGTTTTATGGAAATATAACATGTTTTCCACATTTTCCTCTCTACTTACTTCGATGTATCCTAATTTTTCAAAACAAAACTGACATTATAAATATATCTGTTATGTTGTTTCTTTTTTTCCGATTTTTGTCATCAACCCTGTTGTCATGCTTCATACCACAGCCGTGAAGTTGAAAGAATTCCCACAACAACATCTAAAAAGCTCGATATGCAAGCTTGGTTGACATATGTAGCTAGTTATAGCTGTATAAAATTCTTCACTCATTTTCTCACTCATCCTCACCCTCAACCCGTCTTCGAGTATATCTCTTCCATCCTCTCCCTTTATTTCTTAGTATCTTTTTCTGGAGCATCGTGTATTTGCCAGAATCGAAAAACGTTCATTCACTATTTATTTCAAATAACCAAATATAGATTTGCGCCATCTTGAAGCAAAGTCAATTATTTACGTTATTTCCTAATCGTGATAACAGAGGCCGCCAGTAATCATGGAAAGTTTTTCTGTTTAAAACAATTAAATTAAATTGAAATAAAAATATTTTGGTTACTAATCATTTTTGTTCTACAAATGCAATTATTTAATAACACACGTATATATAAATATTAAGAATTAAATATAAAATTTTAAATTTCCCGGTCTTTGTTTTGGCCGGATATTACAACGTTTTGGCGCGATCGCGTGCAGCGCCTCTACCGGATGATGTCAGTTGCTGTAGGAGTACGTTCGGCATGGATGCAAATTAACACAAGTTGTCGTCGTTCGTACCGGTTGAGACTAGTTGATCGAAACGTGTTTATAATTCCTCGTCAACTGTCGAACGGGACGTCATAAAGTGCAGAATATGGGTGCTTATTTATCTGAACCGATCACAGAGAAGGTATCCACCGACGAGGCCAACGATAAAATAAGATGCGGGGCCAGTTCGATGCAAGGTTGGCGCGAGAGTCAAGAGGTAAATGGAAATTGACAATTGTTTACCGTCATTAATTTAATAACTGACTTTTTAGGTTAGGCTAGATTCTTCAAATACCCTTTTTTTTTCGTTTAGATCATTAATTTCACCTATCTCCATTCGAATTCGTTTAATTTATATAAAAAAGATATTTTTATTGCAATTACTCGATTAATAATTCATTTCAGAAGTGTGTATTAAAAACTAACCTCAAACAACTTTTTTTTAATCAAAAAATCCTTTCAAATTCTTTCTAATGTTGTTTAACATGAATCATTTTACTACAATTCTTTTATTGAGGCAGTTACTCATCCTTTTTTTTACCATTATTTCCTGTATACAAATTCTTAACCTATATTTTTATTTTTTAGGATGCCCATAATTGCATATTAGATTTTGATAATCATGCTTCATATTTTGCTGTATATGATGGTCATGGAGGACGCGAAGTCGCCCAATATTGTTCACAAGAATTACCGGCATTTCTAAAAACGCTAGAGAAATATAAATCGGGGAATTACCAGGAAGCTCTTGAAGAAGCCTTCCTTAATTTTGATGCAACAATAGCGACACCGGAAGTTAAAGCTACATTAAAAAAAATTGTTCAAAATGATGGCGAAGATGATGTTAGCGATGAAGACGATGAAAATGTTAATCATTTATACGAAGAAGCAACTATGCCCATTGAGCAAGTCATCGAGAAGTACACCTCGAATAAATTGAAAAATTTAAAAGATAGCGAAAAATTACCTTTATCTCCACTTTTAAAACCAAGAAAACCGGTCGATTCACCTGGAACATCATCCACTGCAAGTAATTTAACATCAAAACCTCCTGAATCTTCTCGAGGCGATGTTGTGAGTAGTACAAGTAGTGTTAAAATAGAAGAAATCACATCTAGCGATGCTGTCGGTAATGGAAATGAAGAAACTGAAAAAGAACAACCGGATAATGTCGTTACTAGTGAGGGAAGTAATAAACCTGATAGTTCTGAAGATATGAAAACTACAACAAAAGAGGAGATCATTGAAAGTGAAAGTTCTAATCAAAATGGGGATGCTGTTAGTAGTTCTTCACCACAAAATGGAAAAATTGTTGATAAAAAAAAAGGTTTGAAACTTATTTTTTAATATATTTTCATTGTCAGTTATTTTGAGTTAATTTTTTTGACTTGATTTTCTTTCAGATGAGACGAGTGAATTTTTTTATTAATTATAATTTATTTTATATTAATTACCTTCATCAAATATTATTACATAAACTTAAATCTTTAAAGAACTCTACAAAAATGCTTAAAAAATTAAGATTGTAAGCTCTTATCAGGTATTTGATTGATCCTACATAACCAATTTAACTTGAAATGTCTATGTCCAGCTCTCACATTACAAGTAAAATGAGCTGGAGCTCTATCATGCATGTAACCAATATTAGAGAGAAACAGCGTTTCGTTCATGACTTCTTTAATTCATTGCATATCCATTACAGGGTGTCACAAAAGTCTAGTAGCATGGTATTTCTGTTGATAAAAACAGAACAGAAGCACATAGAGACAAGAAATTTGGTATAAATTTTATTTAAACATTAACAAAGAACAATATGTATTCAAAATTCGAAGTATCTGGCTCCAAGGAAGCACTTCCTTCATCAATCTCATCAAGGTAGCGTCTGGGAGTTGATCTTTACCCCTTGATCCACAAAAATCAGCGTCGTCTTTCTTTGAAATTTCTAACACTTTCATCAATGACCATAGATTGAAATAGAAAATCGTATTTTGTATGGCTTATCATTTGCCATTAAACCCTCTAGTTGATGGGTTGTTTAAAAATCACACTGTTCGATGGGCTGGGTCCCTCAGACCCAAAGTTTGATGCTTATTCCTCCCACAATAACACAATAAAATATTAAATTTATTGTATTCTACTGTTAGTCCGTCTTATTGTGTACTGCTGAAAGCAGAAATAGTTATCAAAAAGCAATTGCCCAAATTCATATATATAAAATTCATTAAAACAGTTAAGAACAGTTTATGGAAAAATCGCTGTGACGGGTCTAAAGATTTAAATTATTTGCAATTGTGTGGTATAGATTTAAAATTTTTGCCGCCATTTTTAAACAAGCAATGACGTCATCGATATTTGTTTTAAATAGCAATGCCCCATTTCTATTACGGAATATAAAAGAGGACTTTGTTCTGAATCTAGTACAGTCAATATTAATATTGGTTACATAAGAAAATTTTCGAGAAAAGTTATCTTAAAGTTTCATGATTTTCCATTCATTTGAGATAGAAAAATAGCCGTAGCTATGCGTAACCATGGCAAACAACTGTTCCAGATATCAAAAATTAATCATTGTCTAAGGCCCACTTTTACCACCTCTTGATAAATATAACCGATATATAAATTGGTGCTCTTAGCCAATGAGAGCGCTTAAAACCTCTGTAACCATGGTAATTATCTATCGGTTAAATTTATCTAGAGGTGGTAAAAGTGGGCCTTAATAAAATATGTAAAACAACTGGTTGCCATGGTTACGCATTGCTACTGCTATTAGCTATTACCCAAGAATACCACCAATGGCCACCGCCTTGCGCAACGTTTTTAGATGCATTCTATAAAGTACATCAACACCACTCTTTATACTATTATAGAATGTTATTATTTCTGGTTTTTTCTTTTCACCGAAATTTACCTTCCTATTCAAAAGCAACCCAAGAAATGAGCGCTTGAGAGTGAGAGACTTTCCCTGAATACAAAAAATTTATGATAAACAAGTTAGATGGAAAAAAGTTATATGAACACATGGGTTTTTTATTTAGTAAAAATAAGAAGGTACCCAGAGGAAAAAACATAAAAAAAAAATTTGGAAAGATACAATAAAAAAATGAATTTGGCCAGTCTGACAGACCCAGCCTGTCAATTGAAGGGTAACCTAATTGATTATTAACGTTTTCTCTATTAAGGGGTCGTCCTAAATTTCTTGTTGGCACCGACAACTAAAACTATATTAATCGTACTGAGTCTAATATTGCACGTAATCCAAAAAAAAATTGGTTTTTTCTTAAACATAGGAAAGGCGTGGGTAGGATACCGACAGTAATGACACTTGGCTCCTGCGTTGCTACTAACTTGACGATATTTGCGCTTTATTTGCAAATTATTTTCGATCTGTTTTTACTGTATCCATGGTTGGTTCTGGGGTTGAGCTGAACATTTTGGAATTTTTTGGAAACAATTGGACAAAAAACCAAAGAGTTCGAACTTTTAATTTTGACATATTTGTCAACTTCATAAAAAATTCCTTAAAATGAGTCCAAACTCGACATATTTAACTTTAATATTAATGAAAATATCATTAAATCAATCACTTCCGGTTTGAAACGTCTACGTCAATTTTGACATATTTTTCATCTTCATTAAAAAATCTTTAAAATGAGTCCAAAGATGACGCACTTATCTCAAAAAGCAAAAAAGTTAGAATAAAAAGCATTAAACCCTAAGTTAGCAACAATGAAGATAGCAATTTAATTTTTAAATATTAATACCAACCTTAATTTTTTATATTTTTGTTTTTGTGACAAATATTAAGACATTTTATAAAAATTAAGAATATGTCAAAATTACATTGCATTTCAAACCGGAAATTCTTTATCTCGAGTAATTTTGAAATTAAACGTATCTTGTTTGGAGTGATTTTAAAGGATTTTTCACGACGATTACAAATATGTCAAAATTGACGTTGACATTCTTAACCGGAAGTTGACCATAACTTCATTAACATTGAAGATAAATATGTCGTGTTTGTACTCATTTTAAAGGATTTTTAATGAAGATTAAAAATATGTTAAAATTGAGGTTGACATTTTAAACTTGAAGTTAGTTATCATCTTAGAAATTTTATAACTGAAGTTAATCTACTGTTAGTCACTTTTCCGCACTTTCTCTTTATTTTTAATGTGTTTTTTGGGTCATTTCGCATTGATTAAAAAAAATCGTCGATTTTTTAGCCACATGATGATTCTTGATTTTTTCCCAAGTTTCTTAATATTTCTTTTGTTAAAAAAGAGCATTCTTAATTTTTTGTTTAAGAATTCTATGTTAAAAAGATTCATAAACATAATTCAGATTCTCTTCTAGATTGTAATCAACAATCTTTACTGTTGATCATTTATTAATCATTTGATTAGGTATCTAGTTAAACACTTCATTTCTGTGCATCTTTCGAATATATTTAAGTTGAGGTGTTACTATAAAGCTACCACACATGATGAAATTTCAATTCTAACTTTAGTTTCAATTCTAGGTAAAGGTAAGGCTTTAATGAAGACTCGTGGAATGGAAAATACTATTGTATTGAGAAGTCGAACTACTCGCAGAACAGTAACACAATTGTACAATACTTTACTGCAAGAAGATTCTGAGGATGACGATTCAGAAGATGAAGAAGATAAAACTTTTGAAGGTCCAAATGGTAAGAGAATAAGAACCAAAAATTTTTCAAAAATCTACTTTTCTTTTAAGTTGATTCTAGTGATGATGGCGATGAAAACGAACTTCAAGGTGAAGATGAAAATTCCGATAAAACTTCTGATGAAGATGAGGACGATGATGATGATGAGGATGACGACGATGATGATGAAAACGTTGGTAACCTCCTTTTTAGAGGGATGGGTGATGGTCCCGGTTTTGATAGCGGATGTACCGCTGTTGTGGCTCTTCTCAAAGACAATGAATTGTACGTAGCAAATGCGGGTGATTCGCGCTGTATAGTTTGCAGAAATGGTCAAGCGATAGAAATGAGTATTGATCACAAACCGGAAGATCCCCCTGAATTAAATCGAATTATTAAAGCGGGCGGGGAAGTTACTTCTGATGGTAGAGTAAATGGTGGGTTGAATTTATCGCGAGCAATTGGAGATCATGAGTACAAACAAAATAAAAACGTTTCTGATCGTGAACAAATGATTACCGCTTTACCAGATATAAAAACATTGACGATAAACGCAGCTGAAGATGAGTTTATGGTATTGGCTTGTGATGGTATTTGGAATTTTATGTCTAGTCAAGAAGTTGTTGATTTTGTAAGGCCAAGATTGCAGGAGAATCCAGATAAAATATCACAAATATGCGAAGAGGTACGTTTTAAATATTTATTTTTTTGTAACACTCTAATTTTTATTTATTTAGATGTTTGATCATTGTTTAGCACCTGATACAATGGGCGATGGTACAGGTTGCGATAATATGACTGCGATAATAGTTGCCTTTAGGCCAAACATAATGAAAAGGTGCGCATCAGATTCGGACGTGCAAACTCAGTGTAAAAAAGCTAAGACTGATGGTGAAAGTATGTCAACTTCAGTTGAAACGACGGTATAACTGTTTATTTCCATAAGTTTAGTGCGAAGGTGTAAAGTTTAAACGATATATATATTAATGGAAATGAGAGGATTTTTTTGGTATTAGTTTTAAAAAATTAGTTGATTAAAAAATTATTAAAAAAAAAATGAGGCCCAAATATTGTAAGTACAACGATGGAGCCTTTTTTGTATTATACCACGGTAGAGGTGCCTTCCGTTAATTTAAAAAAGATCACATCAGCATAAAACACTATCGAAATTATCTGCTAAAACTATTATAAATAGATAGACGTGTTTGTTATAGAAAATTATGGTTTTGTAATTATGTATGTACATACACGTGTCCACTTGTGGAAAACGAAGAGAATCACACGAGGGATCAAGAATCGTTTCGAAAAGCCGTTTTTCAACAAAGCAAAAAGTAATACATTGCAAAAGTAATTATTATTTTGTTACATCAACATGACACTTAACAAAATATGCATAAATGTTAGTTTAACACTTTGATTTAAGTTTATTTTTTGTTCTCTCCTGGAAATGTGTTATCATTAGTTTTTCACATATTTATAATAATAATTTAGAAAAACTGAAAACATGTTAATAAAACGAGATTTTATATTCTTATAATTGTATTTATAGTTTACGAAATATGTTTATGGTTTCATTTTGTCCATCCTCAGTTTTCCTTAAAGATCCTAATAAGATCTTCAATCTTTCTAATTTTAATTTTCTTTCAGTTAATACGCTCTAAAAGTTATTAAAACTAAGTGACTTAACTAGGTTTTTGATGCTTTTTTTTACTTGTATTTCCTGTTGTTCATTTTCTTTCTCTTTCAGTATGTTTTGCAATATATTTTGTGCACTAATCGCTTTAATTTTTTCAGATTCCACATCATATGCCAAGTGTTCTAATTTTGTTATTAATTCATTTGAAATGTCTTCAAATTTATCGTACTCTGAAAAATTTTATTACTGATTTCTTTTATTACTATTTTTCTAACATTTAGATACTATAGAACTTACTTTCTATAAAAAAACGTGACTCGTCTTTTAAATTCTCTGATAGCTTTGCAACAATAGGATTAAGTATTCTTACTTTATCAATTTCATCAAAAAAAATTTCTACGTTTGAAGCCATTTTGATTTTTATGTTAAATCGTTGTTGCCATGGTTGTTGGTCACAAGAAAGAAACAAAGACCAGATAATCATATGTGGTTCTCACTTCATGTCCAGGTTTGATGTAGTAAAAATCTTTGAAGATGTCAAAAACTAATATAAATTTGTTGTCCAATCATCCCCTCTCTTTCAAGCGACCACCCTTTAGGGTAATACTTTTGGTGAAACACATGAACTTGTTGGATGTTATCTTTCAGATTCCGACACATTCATTTAACCTCCTGTTAAGTAGGCAGATTCATCCTTCATTTAGGTCCCTCGTCTTTCTTAATTCATTTTAAGAATAACTTGACTCACGGGGGTGCCTCTTGCGCCTGTAGCGGTATCCCCTTTGACATCTTCTTCCAGCTTCCTGTTGAGTAAGTTATATAGCATGATCTTGGTATTTGCTCAAAAAAGTTATCTTTGGTAACTTTTCAATAAAACGTTGAATGTATGCACAACTCCTCTCAATGCTGTTTATGATGTATTAATATTATAACTACGATTTTGTTTATAAGTTCTTTCCATATCTGATTTGTGATAGATTGGTTATAATAAAAATCAGACGATGATTAAAATTAATATAGATAACCAAGTTTATGACCACAAAAAAAAACAGTGTATTTTCTTAATCTTATATTTATTTTAAATCTAACAATAATATCAATAAAATTAATGATAAATAATTCTAGACATCTATGTCTTCACCAAGTTCGAATGCATTATTATCAAAAGTCATACTACCATCGGGACGATTAAAAGTTTCAATACTGCTCGGTCTTGCCGTGGTAGATGGCCTTCCAAACATTTCGTCATTGAATCTATCTCCAAAGAAAACTTGACTCGGATTTGAAATTGTGCTCTTTCGCGGTGTGTTAACATTGCTATCAGTACGGCTTCCTGGGGATATGCTACTTCCTCTTTTCATCGCCGATTTGCGATTTTTAGGACTAGGATCGAAATTATGAACTTCTTCGCCGAAGTTTGCAAATGTTACTCGACTCGTTGGAATATTAGATTTTCGGAAAATGGTTACTCTGCGTTTCTGCAAATCGGCCAACGTGTTTTTAGGTAATCCAGGTAAATCTTCAATTCTATCTAGGTTATTTAAAAATCGCTCCTCTAAATTTAGGACTAAATTTCCTTTTCTGCGATTTAGCAGGTGCCGTACGGTTGGTCGTCGACCTGGAGGAAGATTGATTTCCTCATTATCTTCCTCATTTTGTTCTTGAATCTTTTTCACGAATTCCACCGGATCCATGCTTAAATTTTCTTCTGCATCGACGTGTTTTACCTAAACAAATTGAAATTAAATAAGATGTTTCATAAAAACTTCATTAAGCACTTACTTGAGTTTCGAAAATATTTAATGAAGTATTTGAAATAATCTGAGAGAAGGTTTGTAATCTATGAATTAACATGGCTACGAATTGTACTACGAGCAATATTGCGTAAGCGGCCAAGAAAACTATTCCAATAGGTTCCAGTTGAAGATACTCTTTCATAATTCTAATTTCATTTGCGCTCTCCATGTACGTAAAGTTGGATTTTACACCGAATGGCCAAGGGACGTGAATGAGATCCTTTTTTAACGTCAGCAAGAAAATAACCAATACAAATATTGCGTTTATCATGAAAAATGCCAATACCATTTTATCGCGAAGATTTTTTAAATCGGCTGCAATCCGTTTCTAAAAACCAATTTATTTCAATCAATAAAAAGATAGTGTTGAAATAATTTTAATAGATAAGTGTAAAAATTGATAATTATCAGTGCTAGAACATTTAATGAAACGTTTATCGAGTGTTAAGTACCTTATCAGCTGTGTCATCAATAGGGTGTAAATACTCATCCAAAATTCCCTCCCAAAATGCTTCTTCTTTCGAAGTAAGGAAATTGACTTCGCCTCTTTGGATGGATTCGTCTTCCAACCACGTGCATCCAGATATTTCTTCAGTAAAATCTTCCCTACTTATATCCATTGAATATATTGACTGATCTTCACTATTTTCTTCTTCGATTTCTTCTTCTTTGCACTCTTCAATGTCTTGAATGTTTAATCTTTCTTCCATTTTATCTAATCGTTCCAAAATCATATTTAAAGGCGTGTTTTGTGCCAGTGTGCAGCATAAGCACCGAAACAAATTTCCAAAAGATAATTCCATTCCGCCTGCTGTTTCTTCGCCGGCTCCCAAAAATCTTAAAATTTTATTGCTTGTAGTCTGGGGTTCTGGTTTTTTTGGATTTTTAGCATCTTGTGGAGATTGTGTTGGAACAACTGTGACTTCCCGCGTACCCCATGATACGTTATTCATGTTGAAGACTGAGTAAATAACGAGTATCATGTACATACATGGTACTGTAACGTAATATACCACACCAAATTTCAAACAATTTAATTCTTTAGGATGCATCAGTGCCGTGAATATCATTTCGCCCGCGACACAAAAGAAGAACAGTGATGAGGGTGCTAATATACCGTCACTGGTAATTTGGAGAAGAATACCCACTAATACTGCCATCATCACTAAACTGTATACTCCACTTAGAATTGCTGCAACAAACAGCTTCATTTTTTCTTTTAGTAATTTTAATCGATGGTATTATTATTATTAAACAAACCTGCACTTTGTCGTTGGAAACTAATGAGCAAGTAACAACCAAGATTATTAGTGGAACTAGATTCCACAACATACTTTGCCATTGACTCATTTGAAAAGCAGCCACAAAAGCACCTACCAACATGAGGAAAATCGTTCCTGGTCCTAAAATTGTACCGACCATTAAAGCACCCTAAAACAAAACATATTTAGAAATAAATTTGTGATCTATAAATTAGATAGTTACCTGATAAAGAATATAAAGTTTTGAAATATTATTGTTGGCTTTAATTGTTTGACCGGCTGTCATGAGTAAATCAAGAATATTAGCTGTAGTGGACGGCATCCATCGTCTTCTTTGATTAAAGAATTCGTTGAATCCCTCGGGACAATGAGTGTAAGCATCAGAAGCAGCTGAATATTCAACCCGATACCCCCTTTGTAACAATAAGGTACATAACCATCTATCTTCACCCTGATCGAATTGTACGTAATGCAAAGCTTCCGATGATTTAGTAGCATAGCGTCTCATCACATTATCATCCATAAGGGCTTCTCCTCTGAACAAGGAAAAACAACCGGGACTACAAAGTACACACCCAATAACGTGCTCTGTCGCTTTTTGAAGCCAATGACCAATGGCATATTCAAACATTTGGTACCAATACATAACACCAGATCCAAGTGGGTGAATTCGCCCACAAGCAGCTCCTAAAGTTACGTCTTTTTTCATTAAATCTATGAGCAGATGTACTGCCTTGGGTTGAAAATCGATATCACCATCGAGAGCCATTATGTAGGTGTTGGTGGCGCGTAAAACTTTCCGATGTTGTTCCAAATCAGAAGCCATTAATCTATAGAAAAATGTATCTTAATATCTTTATATTAAGATTTTTTGATTACTTACTTATAACCGAGCAGATAGTACATGTACATTACTTGGGACCATCTTTTCTTCTTCCTTATTTTTTTAGCGTCTTTTAAATGCGCAATCATCTTTGTATTACCGGGTAGTGTCCACTCTAATCTACCACCGTAAGGGGTCGTATATTTTACAGGAGGTTTCACTTTCACCTGTACTTTATGTACATATGTTGCTGCTTCGTCCACTGATTGAACTAAATCTCTCACCCAAGAATTAATTTGAGGATCCGGATCATCGTTATGCTTTCTTAGAAAAGCATCATCAAAAAATACATGTGCTATAAACAAATATTACCTCTGTTATATAACTTTGAAAATCTAGCGGACATTATGGCACACATTTTTATACATTGAAGTCTATTTACACAAGAGATAGAGCAACAGAAAAGGACAAAACATAAGAAGACACGAGAATCAAAGGAAAGTAATATGGGAAAAGTAAGAGTCAAGGATTTTTAGACTCAAGTGTAATTAGTAAAATTTTATTATACTTACTTTCCATTTCATAGTAATCATCAATTTTATATCCAAATTCTTTTACCAATCTTCTAGCATTTTGATCGGCGTCCATTCGTAATATCGATTTAAGAAACTCCATCATTTCGTCAGTAGTTTCGTGCCACATCGTACCACAAGCGTAAATTCTTGGTATGATATCTTCTTGATATTCTTCCGTTCGATTAGTTTCTACTTCAATGAAGTCTTCATCATCATCATCATCTAACATTGCATTTCCGACTTCGTTTTTATCTGCTTTTAATCTGATCGGTTCGTCGTTGATTCTTCGATTCATCGCCAAATCTTGATCTAGTACGAAAGGTTCGTACATAGGTCGAACATATAATCTTTCAGTTTTTGCCATTTTTTCGCATTTTGGAACCCATATGTGGGCTGTTATCCACGCTTGTGATATTATCCAAAATAGCCATAAATAAGGATAATCGTTTTGAATAAAATCTTGAATTTCACTTGGTTCGGGGCTATTAAAGAATAGATATAGAGGTATCGTGCTGTAGAAACTGCATGGATCTGTATTATACTTTCCACACATAATAATAATAATAGATACCGCTACTGGTATAGTTAAATTGATGGGAACTGCGTAGGAAAATTGATGCAAATGTGTTTTACAAGCAAATTTACCAAAGATGTAACTTAGATAAGTGAAAGACATGGAAATGAGGAATATCCAAACAGGTGTTAAATGACTGCTTTCAATTAATTGATAAGATCCACTTGCAATAGCTTCCCCCAATGTTCCATTACGTAAAAAATTGGGCACTTCGGTAACGTTGATGTAATGTGGACTGAATGCTTCAGGAAATAAATCAAATAGTTGTTGGACAGGGAATTCATCTTTCAAGGTCGTAATTACAACCATTGTTATGAAAAATGCTAAACATTTCCAAAGTGAAACAATTGTGTATGTGAAATAACGTTCTAAAGTAAATTTTTTATTGGTGTTTGTTAAGTTTTTAATAAACAACCAAGAAGTTGTTGCTAAAGCGTAATTTTCCCACCATGCTATTGAAATTAAGATTGCAGCAACTGGAATGAACCACATGTTTATATCGTTGTCGTAGTACGCTATAGGCAAAAGAAATAAGCCGACTCCTTGACACATAATGCTTAATATATCTCCAATCATGTTGAAACTTATATCTGGTCCTTTTATTTTTGATAGAAAGTTTAGTATCGAAGGAATAAATGCCAAACCATTGGTCAACATAATCGCTTTAACGGCATCCATTTTTGGAAGAACAAGATATACCAAAATTGCATTTCCAACTGCTGATAATGTTTCACTAATAAATACTTTTAAAAATTCGCCTAGTTTTGGTCTATTCCATGATTTGTACAACACCATCCGAACTGCTCTTAGAAAAGTTCCAATTTGTGGTACGCAATACGTGAATAATAGTATCCACATCCACGCAATTTTTTCTTCATCCGGCAAGATAACGGAAAATTGTCTATTTTTATCTACAAATTAAAAAAAACAAAATGCCATGAATTAATCACCGATCGGTTATTGATAATAGATCATTAAAAAAATATTATTTTTTTTTATTATATCTTATCAATCATCCTGTTTACATGATTTTAAGCATGTGCAGGTACAATTTTCGGTAATGTTTCGTTATAATCTAATTAAATTGATTGCTATTTTGTTTTCGTAACATTGCACCTAGATAATATAGAATATTTGACAAAAATAGTAAAATAAAAGGCGACTTATAAGAATATATACGAAAATATTCGAAAACTGGGCCGTGTGTTGTTGTTTATAATCTCGTCAAATATATAAGTACCAAGGTGTCTGAAGGAATAGCAAAGCAGGAATTTGCTGGAACTGGGAATGAAGTTGCAGGTTATTGGGAACAGGGATAGGAGGAACGTGGTGTTGGAGATGCTGCAAGGATAAGAAGGGAACTTAGAAGATATTGTTATATGTTGAGATGTAATAAGGGCTTGTCCATATTGGTCCATAACAGAGACAGTAGACATTTGGTCATGGATATGGAATACCCCGAGTATAAGAGAGCTCTGATAGATTGAAGGTTATGCTGGGATACGGCATTTGCTTGAGGTGGCAAGCCAGACCACACGACCCTGACCTATTCAAATAGATTATAGTCATCCAATCCTTTGCTTTATAGGTAAAGGAGACCTTGCATCCACGCTAGATGATCAAAAAACAATTCCGGATGAAAGAACTGCTGTATTACCTGGGGAACGTAAGCAATGGTCTAAAATTCGAGACCTGTAGGGAGATATAGATTTTCCACTACGTAGCCAATATTTCTCTGAACTTGGTTTTAATCTGCGAAATATGTGATAAACGGTTGGAAGTTGATGCACGAGTATGTAGAGTTAATCTCACCGGAGGAGGTTAAATGCTAAGCCTAAGTATTCGATTGATAATGTCAACGCGGCTAAATTTAAAGGTTTTAAACCCATGGATAAAATTTGTCACTAATTTATTGGTTAAGGAACATTATGCAAAGAGAAAAAAAAATACATTACCTATATCTCTATTACAATATGGTTTTTCATTTCCACTTAATTGTGACGTCATAAATATTAACGTCCCCTTTGAAATAAGAGCTCCACCCAACACAAATACGAAAGTAATAAAATAAGCCAAAACTTTTCCAGATTTTTCGGCAAAATCTAACCATTTGGTTTCCACCATAGAACCAGTTGGTGTAATTCGCGGTGGGTCTTCGAAAATATTCCATGCTTTCTTTTCTTGTTCACGTCGACTGAAAATATTAAAAATTCAAGTGAAATATTTCCAATAATTTTTCTTGGACACTCACGTAAACTCTGAAAGCAAAGGATCTTTCTCCTCTGGAATCATTTTCACTGTTATCTATGCACTATTATATTCGCGAACTACAAGTACTATAATTCAATCGGCATATACATGTTACTTTCGTGAGCAATGTGCTACCTCTGTTTTCTAACTGGAACAACTGATTGGGTAAAAACAGCTTGTTGTGGAAATACAGGGTTTTAGATTAGATTAGACATGGATCTTAACGGATATATGAAAAAATCATGAGCTAAAAGTTTTTCTAATTGAACTATTAAGATAAATATGAAAGTTTCTAAGAATTAAATTGTAATGAATTCGTAATTGTGGATCTTTTAGGAAATATGTACTTCAAAAAATACATTTAATAATGGTGTTTTTATACAAATTATCATCATGGCAGCATATAATTGAATAGTATAGATAGATATCTTTATCGATAAACACATCTGATTAGTTTTAATTTGTAATTATTGCTTTATCTTTTCATTATCTTCAATTAAAACAAATTAAATTTCGTTTATGATTTATTATGATACAAAGAAAATGCAAAACATATGATAATTTTATATTACCTACACATTTAAAAAAATAAATTATGTATATATCTATTTACTACATTCAAACATTTTCGATGAAACCATAATTTACATCACCAGTTCTTCTCTCCACTCTATAGCAATTTAAATTATCATTATTATCAAACCAATTTTTATCATTGCCCATTTGGTCAATTATTGCATCTTCTAGATCTGTGTAAATATTACTCTTCGGTAAATCGATTTCTTTATGCCTTCTAGTTGTAAAATTTTTTGTATGTCGAGTATTCTGGTTTCGTTGGATTTTTTTGATTATTTCTACGGGGTTTGATTGGGTGTTATCCTAAAAAAATCACTGTCTAATACTTTATCTTATCACTTAACTAATTAGATTACCTTACGAAGTGTTAGTTTAGTATTACTCATTATTTGAGCAAATGTTCCAAAACGATGGATAAAAATTGCGATGAGTTGAATAAATAATAGTAAAAGTGTAGCGAGTACAAGGATAGTATTGAAGAGCTCTAATTCGAAGTTTTCTCCGTCATCATTAAATGGCCATGAAATGGTGATGTTTTTCGATGTTAATAGAAACAAAACTGATATAAACATACCATTTACAATAATTAGACTGCTTATAACTTTTTCCCGAAGATCTTTCAAGTCGTCTATCATTCTACTTTTATTTTTAGCGTCATCAAGTGGATAAAGATATTTATTGAGCAATTTCACCCAAAACACATTTTCTTCTTCGGAAATATTTCCAATACTACCATGTCTCAAATCGTTATCATTAATCCAAGATTTTTCTGTTACTTCTTCAGTTATTGACTCTTTATTTATTTCTCGTGTACCCCAGGAAACTTTATCCATATTAAATATCGAATATATAAATAAAATCAAATGCATTGTTGGGATCATTGCGTAGAAAACAGGAAAATATTTCAAGTAGTATATTTCTTGTGGATGGCATAGTGTTACTAATAATAGCTCAACTAAGAATATACAAAAGAAAAGGGTCCATGGAGATGTAAATCCTGTACTCAATAATTCGAACCAACCACTGACGAAAAATGTGCACATTAATGGTGTGTAAATTCCACATAATATAAGAGCAATTTGTATCTTGAACAAAAATCAATTATTAATTTATTGTTACTACTTATTAGACCACAAAGGTAATAGCTAATTGTTTTATCAGTGGACTGTTCAAATGTGGGATTGGGAGCAGTTCTCCAACAGATATACCGATATATATTTACCTGTATTTTTTCATTATTTACGTATCCACAAACTGCAATATATATCAAAATTACAACAAGATTTATCACAAAACTTAAATAAAGGCTGATATCAAACAGAGATTTGCACATGTTAACCACTATCCAAAAGATCATCGATGGAGTAATTATGGTCATAATATTAAATATGTATTGATATATCATAAATAAAATAGATACAGTTTGGTTCACTTTTGTTACCAAACTTGTTCGTGATAATAAATCGAGTATGTTAGCTGTTGTTGATGGTATCCATCTTCTTCGTTGGTTAAATAATTCTCGAAAACCTTCAGGACAGTTCGTATAAGCATCGGAAGATGCTACATATCCAACTTTAAATCCACACAATACTAATAATGTTGATATCCATCTATCTTCACCTGTAGTATAAACCTTATCATTAGTTATATTAATTAAGAATTATATTCTCACCGTGATCGAATTTGATAAAGTGAACTGCTTTAGTAGACTTTGTTGTTAATTTTTTTATGATTGACATAACAGCAGTAGCTCTAAAGATTGTAAAACATCCTGGACAGCAGAGAATGCAACCGACAACATTTTCGGATGCTTTGTACATCCAATGACTGATTGCGTATTCAAACTTTTGATACCAAGAAAATATTCCCTTTCCAACTGGGTGAACTCTTCCGCAAGCCGCTGCTAAAGTTTTATCTCGTTTCATGTATTCTAATAACATGTGAACAGCTTTTGGCCTGAAACGTATATCACCGTCAACCGATAAAATAAACGTATTTTCAGCTTCCAATTCTTTTTGGATGTTGTTTAAGTCGTTCCTTCCCATAATGCTGAAAACGAATTAGTTAAATTAAGATAATTGATATTTTTTGAAAGAAATATTTAATATTACCGATGACCTAATATGTAATATAAATACATAACTTGTGACCATCTTTTCTTCGATCTTATTTTGTCATTATCTTTTAAATGAGCAATCAATTTTGTTTTACCGGGTAAAACCCATTCTAGTTTACCACCATAAGGAGTAACGTATTTGATTGGTTCTTTTAACTTAATATTACATTTATGAACCATAGCAACAACTTCTTTTACGCTATTAATTAAGTCTTTCACAAAATCATTCATTTGTGCTTGTTGATTTCCTTGCGATGTTTTTGTAAAAGCATGGTCAAAAACAATATGACCTAAAAAAATAAGTATTTTAGTTTTAAAAAAATGATATGTAGGTAATTGAAATTTACTTTCTAATTTGTAGTAATTGATAGATTTAACATAATTCTTTCCAATTCGTCTTAAGCAATGATCTTCATCGAGATACACAATCGATTTAAGGAAAGTTATCATTTCTTCTTTAGTTTCGTGCCACATCGTGCCACAAACGTACAACATAGGTTCTACGTTTTCTGTGTCGTTTGAAAATGTTTCTTTATCTTTACGATAGTCAAACTCATCGTTACGTCTTCTATTCAATGCTAAATCTTGGTCAATAAAGAATGGTTCGTAATATGGTCTAACATATAACTTTTCAGTGGAAGCTAACGATTCATTTTGAGGAGCTCGTATATGAAATGTTACCAAAATGAATGATACCAATAATAATAGTCCCATAAATATTAGCCAGATATCTTCTACTTCGTAGTTAATACTATCATTAAAAAATAAATATGAAGGAATTATGCTGGAGTAAGCACAATTATTATTATTGGTGTATTCGATAGAGAGCACTAAAATTCCTAGAACTGTTACAACTCCTGATAAATGCAATGGCGCCGCATAAGATATTCGTTGAATATTAATTTTACAAGCAAATTTTCCAAAAATGTATGTTAAATAAGTTGCAATTATGCTTAAGGTTAGAACCCAAATTGGTGTCAAGTAACTATTAGTAATTACTAAATTGTAAGAATCGTCGTTTGTCTAAAAAGATAAGATTGAGTAATAATGTCGATGTTTTTATTATGTACAGAACTGTTCAGAAATTATGTGACGCAACTAAATTTTTAAAGCGCGTCAAGTACGGAGCTAGTTAATTTTTGTATGTGCGTTAATGCGAATGAATCAAGAAGACAACATCCACCTTATTGAATTATAAGGTCAATAAAACCCTTTGTTTTTGATTTCTGAACAGCTCGATACACATTTCTAAAAATATCTTTACATTTTTAATAATAATATCATGGTGGTCAAAAGCATTCTTGAAAGATGAAAATAGGTGATCTATTTTTCCATATTGACTCAATTCAATAAGACACATCGTACCGAAAAATAAGATACATTTCCATAACGAAACAATACAATAAGTAAAGTATCGGCTATTTGGAAATGTTTTACTAGATATTATCATGTCTTTAAAATGAGTCGATTTATAAATGTTTATGTTTCTGATATAATTCTCCCACCATCCAAGCGATATTAGAACGGCTGCTAAGGGAAGGAACCAAATGTTTGGGCCGTTGTGAAAAATAGTTAATAATATTATTCCTGTTCCTTGGATAATGACGCACAAAGTATGTAAATAAGCAAACTTAGAAATTTGCTGATTTTTTCCGGTGACATTAAAGCTAAGCGCTGAAATAAAGCGGAAGTATTATAAAAAATAAATTATCTTGAACACATAAAAACAATATGATAGATAAAAATTATTGATTGATTAAATTATTGATATCATATAATATATTGGATAAATATTACAAAAAATACTAATTGAATAAATACTACAATAGGAACTATATAGGATAAATATCACAACAAATACTAGACAATACCGCAATAGGAATATTTATGAAGTACCTACTTATATTTCTCATTCATATTTCATTGTAATTTTTATATAGTCTTTAAATCCATCATAACTGTCTTATTTAATAACTTAATAATAAAAAAAAATACTTACATAAAATGGCTGGAATTACACAAAAACAATTCATGATGAGACATCCTCTTACAAAATCCGATCTAGGTAAAACGTAAAACACCAAAATCGAATTGCCGATAGTTGATGAAGATTCCCCCAAGAAAACGGAGACAAATTCAAGGATACCAGGCGTTTTCCATTTTTTAAATAACAAAATTCTCCATGATCTTAAAAACGTCGCTAATTGAGGTACGAAATAAATAAAAATCAAAATCCACATCCAAGCTACAATTTCTTCTTCTGGGAGTTCGACCATAAATTCTCCTTCACTGCCGACTATTTAATAATGGAGGTTGAGAAAAGCAAATCTTAACTATAAAAACATTAATTACCATTTTCTTTGCAATATTGCTTAGATTTACGGCTAATTTGAGCAGTTACAAAGAGTAATGTTGCTTTTGATATTACAGAACCAAATAAAACCATCAAAAATGTGATGATGTATATTAAAAGTTTGGTAAACCTTTCTAATGTTTTCCATTTCTCGTCTTCTTCATCTGGGCTTTCATCCGATAATTCTGGGGGTTCGTCAAATATATCCCATTTATCATCGATTTGATCACTAAAAGAAAATATGACTTATTTGAATTAAAATAATTTTTTAACTTACGTTTTATTTGAAGATTCATAATTTTGAATCAATGTCATGTTGTATCAAGAAGTTCAATCGGCCATGCTACATTCAATGCTATGAAGTTCGAGATGGTTAATTTATATTCTTACAAAAGGTACTTGATAAGCACAGTTGTTATCTGAGTTTTTACAGTGCTTTGTTATCAACCTAATTGGAAACCACATTTTTGATTACATTAAAATAGATACAAATCAACTAACCGGAAACTATAAATTATATATAATTCTACCTGACAACTCCAAGTATAGTTGTATCTTTTAGATCAATACATTGTTATAGCGTAAAAATGAAAGGAGGAATCGCGTAATTAAATATTGAAGAATATAGTAATATTTTATTACATACTTATATTACAGAAAGAAAGGAATGTTTGATGGTGTCCGAGTAGGTTTTATGGAGAATTAGTTTTTCTTTATAATTTTTGAATATGGTATTGATTATTAAGATTTATTTGAATAAATCGATATAATCTGAAACTAGAATACCACCTTTTTGATTTTGCAACCATATCATCAAGCAGTAGTGCAGCACTTTTTATTCTCCAAGGTATCTTATACAGTTCCTACGACCACGTATCATTTTCCATGGTGCTATGTTGACCTCTAATAAATAACTGGTTATGTGGTATTAACTTCTTCCTTGATAGAGTTTTATACACAGTAACTCAATAAAACCCTCTCCAGTGCCTTCGACATCAAAGGCTAATGGGCCCATATGAAGTCATCTTAGTTTATTCGGCTTGAAGATTATAATTATTTGTGGCATCTTCCAGTGTATGGGAAAGTACTCCACTTTTACCACAGCATTGAAGATGTAAAGGATTGACCTAAGTAATTCATCTGGAATTTACTTTTGAAGTGTGCTGGTGATCAGGTCCATCAATAATGTCACTGATTTCGCACATACTCTCTCATTTGATTGGAAGGTCCATTTGATAGGGAGCTGCCAGTGTTTCCTGAATAAGCTCGTTATGAGCAATTGCTGTTCTAGTATTTGGAGTATAATTTTGTAAATGTTTTGCAAAAACATTTACTTTCCTAGTAGGATTTGAAGTTGGGTTTGCTATTTGAAAAAATTAGCGCTGACGTCATAACTTGTTTAAAAATGGTGGAAAAAATTTAAAATCTACCAAAAAATTACCAAATGTTTAAATCCTTAGACCTGCCTCGCCGCTTCTATATTACTTCCACCACCATTTCCTGTAGAAACAAATTGCTACAATATCGAATTATTTTCGTCAGGAGCACAGATTTGATAGGATTCGTATAACTCAATGCCCAAGGTTTTACACAATCTGCGTTACTTCAAACCGAAAAAATCGCTTAAGGTGTGTGGTTAAAATCACATTTAAACAGTTTTAATACTGTTGGTTGTTTAAAATAGACTAACATAAGGGCGTAAATATAAAACGTTTTATACGATTAATTTCTGGTTAAGAAATCAATCTCTTAAAGATAACGAAAATTTACACTGTTACAACGTTGTGATTACGATTACATTATGTTTTGCAATCGATAGTTTTTAATAGTTTAATAGGAAAGTTATTACACCCAGACGTATTTTTAGGGCAAACGTTAAGAATGTTAAATAAATGCGCAGAATCATGAAAGAAACAACAAAAGGAACAAAATATCACACCGAATTTTTAGAATTTATCCATTTTTAATCAAACATTTTCGATAAACTCATAATTTACATGATCATTTCTACTATTCATTCCATTACAATTTATATTATTATTACTATTATTAATTGCATCCTCCAGATCTGTATAAACACTATTTGGATCATTTGTTTGTCCGTTATTTTTTCTAGCACGTTGTGTATTGTGTTTTTGAAGAAATTTTTTCGTTAATTTCACTGGATCTGTTTGCGTATTATCCTGAAAATAATAATTATCAAAATATATTTGTTATTTATTACTTAATTCACTTACTTTGCATAGTGTTAGTTTTGTGTTACTCATTATTTGGGCGAAGGTTCCAAAACGATGAATAAAAATTGCGATTAGTTGAATTAAAAATAGTAAAAGTGCGCCGAGTACAAGGATAGTATTGAAGAGCTCTAATTCGAAGTTTTCTCCATCATCATTAAATGGCCATGAAATGGTGATGTTTTTCGATGTTAATAGAAACAAAACTGATATAAACATACCATTTACAATAATAAGGGTGCTGACAACTTTTTCCCGAAGATCTTTCAAGTCGTCTATCATTCTATTTTTATTTTTAGCATCATCAAGCGGATAAAGATATTTATTGAGCAATTTCATCCAAAACATATTTTCTTCGTCGGATATGTTTCCAATACTGCCATGTCTCAAATCGTTATCATTAATCCAAGATTTTTCTGATACTTCTTCAAATATTGACTCTTTATTTATTTCTCGAGTTCCCCAGGAAACTTTATCCATATTAAATATCGAGTATATAAATAAAATCATGTGCATTGTTGGGATCATTGCGTAGTAAATAGGAAAATATTTCAAGTAGTATATTTCTTGCGGATGACATAGTGTTACTAATAATATTTCAAGTAAGAATATACAAAAGAAAAGGGTCCATGGAGATGTAAATCCTGTACTCAATAATTCGAACCAACCACTGACGAAAAATGTGCACATTAATGGTGTGTAAATTCCACATAATATAAGAGCAATTTGTATCTTAAACAAAAATCAATTATTAATTTATTGTTACTACTTATTAGACCACAAAGTTAATAGCTAATTGTTTTATTAGTGGACTGTTCAAATGTGGGGTTGGATTTAGTTTTCCAACAAAGAAATATCGACGTATATTTACCTGTATTTTTTCATTGTTTACGTATCCACAAACTGCAATATATATCAAAATTACAACGAGATTTATCACAAAACTTAAATAAAGGCTGATATCAAACATAGATTTGCACATGTTAACCACTATCCAAAAGATCATCGATGGAGTAATTATGGTCATAATGTTGAATATGTATTGATATATCATAAATAAAATAGATACAGTTTGGTTCACTTTTGTTACCAAACTTGTTCGTGATAATAAATCGAGTATGTTAGCTGTTGTTGATGGTATCCATCTCCGTCGTTGATTAAATAATTCTCGAAAACCTTCTGGACAGTTCGTATAAGCATCGGAAGATGCTACATATCCAACTTTAAATCCACACAATACTAATAATGTTGATATCCATCTATCTTCACCTGTAGTATAAACCTTATCATTAGTTATATTAGTTAAGAATTATATTCTCACCATGATCGAATTTGATAAAGTGAACTGCTTTAGTAGACTTTGTTGTTAATTTTTTTATGATTGACATAACAGCAGTAGCTCTAAAGATTGTAAAACATCCTGGACAGCAGAGAACGCAACCGACAACATTTTCGGATGCTTTGTACATCCAATGACTGATTGCGTATTCAAACTTTTGATACCAAGAAAATATTCCTTTTCCAACAGGGTGAACTCTTCCACAAGCCGCTGCTAACGTTTTATCTCGTTTCATCTGTTCTAATAACATATGAACAGCTTTTGGTCTGAAATGTATATCACCGTCAACCGATAAAATAAACGTATTTTCAGCTTCCAATTGTTTTTGAATGTTGTTTAAGTCGTTTCTTTCCATAATTCTGAAAACGAATTAGTTAAATTAAGGTTATTGATATTTTTTGAAAGAAATATTTAATATTACCGATGACCTAATATGTAATATAAATACATAACTTGTGACCATCTTTTTTTCGATCTTATTTTATCATTATCTTTTAAATGAGCAATTAGTTTTGTTTTACCAGGTAAAACCCATTCTAGTTTACCACCGTAAGGAGTAACGTATTTGATTGGTTCTTTTAATTTAATGTTACATTTATGAACCATAGCAACAACTTCCTCTACGCTGTTAATTAAGTCTTTAACAAAATCATTCATTTGTGCTTTTTGATTTCTTTGCAACGCTTTTGTAAAAGCATCGTCAAAAACAATATGACCTAAAAAAATAAGTAGTTTAGTTTTTAAAAAATGATATGTAGGTAATTGAAGCTTACTTTCTAATTTGTAGCAATTGATAGATTTAACATAATTGTTTCCAATTCGTCTTAAGCAATGATCTTCATCGAGATAAACAATCGATTTAAGGAAAGTTATCATTTCTTCTTTAGTTTCGTGCCACATCGTGCCACAAACGTACAACATAGGTTCTACGTTTTCTGTGTCGTTTGAAAATGTTTCTTTATCTTCACGATAATCAAACTCATCGTTACGTCTTCTATTCAATGCTAAATCTTGGTCAATAAAGAATGGTTCATAATACGGTCTAACATATAACTTTTCAGTGGAAGCTAACGATTCATTTTGAGGAGCTCGTATATGAAAAGTTACCAAAATGAATGATACCAATAATAATAGTCCCATAAATATTAGCCAGATATCTTGTACTTCGTAGTTAATACTATCATTGAAAAATAAATATGAAGGAATTATGCTGGAGTAAGCACAATTATTATTATTGGTGTATTCGATAGAGAGCACTAAAATTCCTAGAACTGTTACAACTCCTGATAAATGCAATGGCGCCGCATAAGATATTCGTTGAATATTAATTTTACAAGCAAATTTTCCAAAAATGTATGTTAAATAAGTTGCAATTATGCTTAAGGTTAGAACCCAAATTGGTGTTAGGTAACTATTAGTAATTACTAAATTGGAAGAATCGTCGTTTGTCTAAAAAGATAAGATTGAGTACTAATGTTGATGTTTTTATTATGTACAGAACTGTTCAGAAATTTTGTGATGCAACTAAACTTTTGAAGCTAGTCAAGTACAAAACTAGTTGATTTTTGGATATCTTATTGAATTATAAGTTGTGGGCTAATGTATCACTTTTCGTTTATACATTTATAAACTCTCTGGTCGCCTACTACATTGTTTCTAAGTACACTAATCGGCTAGAGAGGTCAGTGTTAGCATAGTTCCTGATACTTCTTAATATCCTGGACGTTTTTCAACATCGTCCATAACATCTTTTAATAATTTCCTTCTAATTTTTTTATATCAATGTATCTAGTTGGGTTGGGTTGGGTTTAGGTGGAGACACAGTGTGTTGTGTCATGTCTACATTTATTAAACATTAAAATGTTTAAACATTAAATCAACTAATAAAAGTTTGCTTGCTTCAGTATCTCATGCCTGAAAATTTCTTCAAAATAGACGACGCCTTATCTCGTATAAACACCAAATTCTTTGTTTGGTTATCACAAATGGTTGTGCATCTGCCCCTATATTGCTAACCATGCTGGCGTGGCCTGGGACATAATTTAGAGAGATTTTGAAATACTGTGTCTGACATATATTAAAATTATTGCTGAATACAATTTGATCCATCAAGTTGAGAAAAATGACGGAGATGATCTTAATTAGACATTTTGTATTTAATAGAACATCTTTGTAAACAGATTAATCAAGATTCAAGGAGACATCTCTAATAGTATTATTAACATATTTAGAAAATATTAAATAAATATAACCTTCAAAACAAATAACACCATATTTGATCAAATACAAAATTGGAAAGATAAGATGAACAAATTGAGCAAGAGCGAGGTTGGGCGAAACATGGAGCGCCATCTATATTAGTAAAGCTGGAAAAATGATAAGACTCACTTTATTGGAGATGACAAATTTAAAAATCTTGAATGTATCAACGAATCTATAACTACCTCCTCAACGTATTCAACATCGGATTTGGTCTTCGATAAAATACTTCTTCATCCCACTAATCATCATCCATAAATTATAATTTTCTTTTACTATAATTCTTAAATGATATAATATCGTTCGACACGCAAGCGTTATCCCCACCAAATGATACGTTAGTTTTAT